AATTCAGAAATTCAGTAATTCAGTAATTCAGAAATTCAGAAATTCAGAAATTCAGAAATTTTTTGGGTTATCCAGTTTTGGACACTTTTGGAGGTATGCATAGTTTGGTGTGAGACAGACGTCGCCGGGGATTTGAGCACGCCAGGTTGCCTGGAGATTTGGGGAATTTTGGATTTGAATTTTCGAACTTTCGAATTTCCACAAATTCAGATTTAAAAAATTTGAATTCCAGAGTATAATCAAAAATACAGTAATCCAATTTTTCAGAAAAATCAAGGAACGAAATGGTGACAAAGACGCTGGTCCGCTGAGAACCCAGGAGGAAGTGGAAGCTGAAAACTTGAGGTACTGTAGTTCTTTTTTTTTTTTTGGGTTACTGTAGTTTGATATATGTGTTACTGTAGCAAACTATTGTAGAGTTACTGTCGGGTTAATTCAGTCCATCACAACTGAATGATCCTGTTTTTTTCTTGAGGATTACTGTACCTGCACATCTAACTATTTTCAGAAATATTTTCAGACTCGAAGAGAATCTCGAAAACGCCAATCTTCAAAATGAGGATTTGATGGATCGATGGAGTGAAGTATCCATGAAAGTTCAAGAGTGAGTTTTAATTACCCCCTTAATTACCATATAACTGAAATTTTCAAAAAATTGAAAAGAAAATTGAAAAAAAAAACTTCCTAATTACCTCTTCAATTAGCCCTCATTATCGATTTTTGCAGAGCTCGAAAAGCAAACGTTTTGTTGAAGGAAAAAGTGGAAAAATTGAAAGAGATGGTGATGAAAAGAAGTTTGGCGAAAAATCCGTAATTTTGAACTTTCGATTTCTTTTAATTGGATAATTACACTAATTATATAGTTCGAGACTCCAAGGATCACACAAAAATGGGGCGAAGCCAGCGGCAGCAGAAGTGGACGATCCGAAAATTTAAATTTTTGTTAATTTTAGCATTATTGGACCCAATTTAAAAAATTCCCGATTTCCCATTTTTTCCGCTCCCGATTTTCTATCACAGATTCCAGTGGTTTTTAACATTTCCTGTGCTCCAAATGATCGTTAATTAGCCTCCAATTAAGTTAATTGGATTTTTGAAAATTTATTTTTTTTTTGAATTTTCCCATTTTCCCTCTGACCCATTGTTTTTCAAATTGTGAAGAATCTCTATTGCCCTATTTTCTGACCTCTTCTTACTGGATTGCTCAGCTTTAAACTTGAATTTTCTTAAAATTTGAAATTTTTGTCAAAATTCATTTTCGATTCATTTGTTCTATTTTTAATAGTTTTCTGAAACTGTGATATATCTATCTTTCCATTTTTCAGGCTTAATTACCCCCCTTAATTACCCCGTTTTTCAGCTCAAAATATAGACAAAAAATGGTACAAAAATACAAAAATACGCAATGGACACGGGTTGATTGGTCTCAAATTGAAGTCACCGCAAAACCAGAAGACGTTAAGGTGAGTAATTAAAAATTTTAATTATAACTTTTTTTTTCGTATTTTTCAGAAAATTTGAATTTCAGAAAATTTGGTTTCATTGAGATTTTGAAAAAAATAGACCTAGCAGAAATTGGAAAATTACATTCCAGAACTTTTTCTGGTTGAAAAACCTAAAAAATCGATAATTAGATTAAGAGGTAATTAGGTGGGTAATTAAAGGTACTTAAGGAGTAATTAAGGGGGTAGTACTTTTCAAACTCCTTCAAACTTTTTTTTCCAATTTTCTTCAGAGGATAACTAGGTGGTTACTGAGAGGAGTAATTAGGGAGGTAATTAGGTGGGTAATTAAGAGGCTAAAAGTCCAAAAACGTAAAAATTACCAAAAATTCAAATTTTCGGGTTCTCGACTTCGGCTGCCGCTGGCTTCGAGCTCTGAAAATTGTTAATTAGGGGGTGATTAAGGAGTAATTAAGGGCAATCAAGGAGGAGGTATTTAGGGAGCTTTTTTCAAATTTTTTCAAACTTCCGTTAAAGGGTAATTAAGAGACTAAATGATGGGTAATTAAGAGACTAACTAACACTCACTCTCGATCAAATCCTCGTTTTGAAGATTGGCGTAGTACAGTAATTCTCAAAGAAAATACCATCAGTTGTGACGAACTAAAGTAACCCTACAGTAAACCTACAGTAATCCCACCTTGTTACAGTAATCCTACTAACTATAGTAATCCAAAAAAAAACTACAGTATAGTTTTCAGCTTCCACTTCCTCCCGGGTTCTCAGCGGTCCAGTGTCTTTATCACCATTTCGTTCTTTGGTTTTTCTGAAAATAATGGATTACTGTAGTTTTGATTATACTCTGGAATTCAAATTTTTTAAATCTGAATTTGTCGAAATTCGAAAGTTCGAAAATTCAAATCCAAAATTCCCCAAATCTCCAGGCAACCTGGCGTGCTCAAATCCCCGGCGACGTCTGGCTCACACCAAACTATGCATACCTCCAAAAGTGTCCAAAACTGGATAACCCAAAAAAGGATAAATCGATAATCGATCGCCGCAAATTCAAGCTGATCATTATGGACGAGACGGATCGAGCTATCGCTGACTCTCTTACCGATTTCCAGCCATCACCACTGGCCTTGACTGAGAAATCTGAAACAGGAATGTCGGAAAAATCAATCGATTGGCTATTATCGTTCAGTTGGTTTTATCAGATATTTCAAGAAGTTCAAAAAGGGCGGCGCCAAAAGAAGAAGAAACAATTCTATGTCCGAGTGATTCCGGAGGTGGATATTGGAAATGATCGTGTTGAGGAGCCGAGAGTTTTGACGGATGAGATTTTTGAGTTTCTTCATGTCGCTAGAATTCAACAGGGAGAATCGGAGAATCAGAATATTCGTGAGTCAAAAAAAAAGCTAAAAATTGCTGAAAAATGACAGAAAAACAAACTCTAAACAAATTGGTGTATCTCAGAAACTACAGAAGTCAGTGAGAAAATTCAAATTGTAAATTGTGCAAAATAAAATTTCACACATTTTTGTAGTTT